ACTTTAGTTCTTTTTTTTTTGTGGGGGGGAGGTTTGGCCCACACCTGACCATGGTCAGGTTCTGCCTCTGGCTTCATGCTCAGGGGTCACCATGGTGCTGCTGAGGGACCATGTGTCATGTACAAGGCAAGCACCTTAATCCCTGTACTGTCTCTCCTGTCCACTTTAGATTTAGATTTTTGGTTTCTGCCAACCATGGAGTTTACCCTACTGACATCTGAGTTCCATCGTGGGATTTTCACTATCACTGTCACTGTCCTCCCGTTCTTCGTCTATTTTCTCGAGCGGGCCCAGTAACATCTCCATTGTGACAATTGTTACTGTGTTTGGCATATCAAATACGTCACGGGTAGCTTGCCAGGCTCTGCCGTGAGGGCGAGATACTCTCAGTAGCTTGCCAGGCTCTCCGAGCGGGGCGGAGGAATCGAACTTGGGTCGGCCATGTTGGCTGCATGCAAGGCAAACGCCCTACCTGCTATGCTATCGCTCCAGCCCATCTGGGATTGAAAGAGAGTAATTACTGGCTATATTGTATATTAGGAAACATTCCAAGGAATCTAGGATCAAACTGTGTTTTTTTTTTTCTTTTTGGGTCACAGTTGGATTGCTCAGGGTTATTCCTTGCTCTGCATTTAGGAATTAACTCCTGGTGGTCCTTGGGGGACCATATGGAATGCTGGGGATCAAACCTGGGTCTGCTGCGTGCAAGACAAACACTGTCCCCACTGTAATTGCTCTGGCCCCAGGATCAAATCATGTTACAGATAGTAGCACTGTAGCATGTTGCTCAGTGGGCACCAGTAACATTTTACAACAAATTGTGAAACTAGTTGTTACTGTTTCTGGCATATCAGATATGTCACGGGGAGCTTGCCAGGCTTTGCTGTGCAGGCGAGGTACTCCGGGTAGCTTGCCAGGCTCTCCAAGAGGCATGGAGGAATTGAACCTGGGTCAGCCTCATGCAAGGCAGATGCCTTGCCCGCTTTGCTATCACTCCAGCCCGTTACAGATGGTATTATTTAAAAAAATACTTATCTTTCATTTTTTAATTTTTCATTAGTGAATCGCTGTGTGGTGCAGTTACAGAGTTACAAACTTTCATGCTTGCATTTCAGTCATACAATGGTCAAGTACCCATCCTTCCACCAGTGCCCATTTTCTACCACCAATGGTTTCAGCATCCCTCTGACCACCCCCACCCCATCCCCTCCACCCCACCTCGCCTCTGTGGCAGGGCATTCCCTTTTGTTCTCTCTCTTCTTTTGGGTGTAGTGGTTTGCAGTAGAGGTATTAAGTGTCTATCATGTTTGGTCTATAGTCTACTTTCTGCATCTCCCATCCCGAGTGGGCCCTCCTAGCACCCTTTACTTGGTGGTCCCTTCTCTGTCTGTGCTGCCTTTTCCCCCAGCATGCGAGGTCATTTACTTTTTGCTTTCTCGGTTACAACAGCGATGCTCCGGTTACTCCTGGCTCTGCACTCAGGAATTGCTCCTGGCAGTGCTTGGGGAAGTACGTGGGAAGTGGGGGATCAAACCTAGGTTGGCTGCATGCAAGGCAAAACACTCTACCCACTGTACTACTGCTCCGGCCCTACAGATTGTATTAAAGAGGAATCACGGGGCTGCAGAGATAGTGCAGTAGGAAGGGTATTTGCTTTGCCTGTGGCTAAACCGGGTTGATCCCTGGCACTCTGTACGATCTGCTGGACCCACCAGGAGTGACCCCCTGAGCTGAGAGCTAGCAGTGAGGCCACTAAAAAACACACAGTTATGCTCTATATTTGAAGGCCTTGACATTTCATCAGTTATCTATCAGTCCCATAGGGTATGGGAAGAAAACATTTCCCCAGTTTTAATCTGCGGTTCATATTACGATGTTTCCAAACCTGTCTCGGGGTCAGATATGTGTGAGAAATGGCCAAGAATTGCCAGGCTATCTAGGCACCTCTCTGTGTTACACAGATACCAAGTATTTGCTTGAGGGCAGAGTGGTGTGAGGCCGTCCTTAGATGAGGCTTTAATCTCCTAGTGTGCTTGGTAGCGGGCCAGAGACAGTACAGCCAGTAGGATGCTTGCCGTGCAATCCCCAGCCCCCTGTAAAGGACTGAACTAAGGGGGCTTGGCACGAGGGCTGAGAACAGAGTGAAATTGGGGCCACAGTGAATGTACAGACATGAAAGGAGAATGCTCCACACGGTAGTTAATTCAGGGCCTTTATTAACTGCCATGATGTGACGTGTCAGTAAGAAATAAGTGTGACCCTGGGATCAGTGGCTCTTTTTGTTTTTTTGAGGGGCCTTACCTGGTAGTAATTTTCGAGCTATTTCTGGTGGTATCGTCTCAGGAATCACTCCCGGTGGTGCCTGGAGGGGCCATACATAGTGTCAGAATTAAACTGGGCTTGTTCAGTTTGATACCCGGGCAAGACAAGCACCTTAGTCACAGTACTATCTCGCTAGCTCCCAGGGTCAGCTTTTGAACAGGATTCGCCTGATAGAAGGATAGTGTGAAGCCAAATTAAGGATAGTGTGGTTGCGTGTTCTGGACAATGGATATTTTCAGCCACTGATGTGCTCACATTTGATAATCATTTAACTAGCAATAGTTCAGTCATAAAGAATGTCAAGATAAATGAATGTGTCTTGAATTCATACCACATGTTATGCCACTCAGAACAGGCCAAAGCCTATCTAACCTTTAGAGCAAAGCATTGTCTGGGACTGAAGGGGGGAACACTTGGGTAAGAGAGAAGAAAAAGAGACTAGAAAAGCAGAGGAAGATTACCTTCCTGGAGGTCATGGTAGTAGAACAGGAAGTCTAACTGCTGCAGATGGCCAAGCTCGGTGGCATCTGCGTTTCATAGCGTGGCTCGTATGATATCCTCTTATTACTGCCTCAGGGATCTTGGGAATCTGCTTGGGTGGGTTGAGGGAGGGTGGTAGCAGGCGCCTTGGCTGCTCTGGAGTCCTACAGTTGAGGCAGGCCCTCTCCCGGAGTGTGTTCCCTCCAGGTTGCGGGCAGGGCTCATCAGGGGAGCCTATCAGGTGCATCACACCTGGCCCATTGGCGGGATTCTAGGGAGGCCTTTGAAGATGAAACACTCCATAAGCTTTCATTGTTTCTGGTTTCTTCTTCTTCTTCTTTTTTTTTTTAAACTAGTACTTTGGTCTCCAGGGGCTGTTGATCTGGCTCCTTTGTACTAGTGTGGAGTTTTCTGCAAACTGAGTTTTTTTGGAGGGAAAAAAAAAACCCAACAAACTAACCTCCAACCTCTTTTAGATTGTAAATAAGATTCTTCATCCACCTTTTACAGTTTGGTTTGGGTGCACTGTGCCTTGACCTGTTCCTTTGCCTGCTAAGAGTTGGCGTGCGTGCGTGTGTGTGTGTTTCTGTGTCTGTCTACCAGACTCTATACAGAATGCCAGCTGCTGGCATATGGTGATTGCTGAGTAAGCTACCCACTGACGCATGTCTCCTGCAGGCACAGAGAACTGGCTGGTACGGGGGATTCTGAACCCCCATTTTATTGTTTCAGAGATGCCTTTTTTGGTTGTCTCATACCATGGAGAAAGAAGAGAGATTGAACGATTCTTATCTTGGCCGTTGGGGCAGCTTGTAGACGTTTTGTCCCTACATTCACAGTGGTGCTCTCTGTTCCCTTTATTCTTTCAGCAGGCTTTAGTGTGTGGTAAGTGTCCCTTGAGGTGCTGCTAGTGGGGTCAGTAGAAGTAGCTGAGAGTGCGTTTAGTTTTTCACCTCCTGTGTGCCAGGCACTGGCCGAGCTCCCAGGAACACAGCCGTGAACGAATTAGGTAAGGAGGTGACATTTATAGTAGGATACAGAAAATAATATAGCAAGGAATGAATATGTAATGTGTCAGGTGGTATTAAGTGCTATGAAGAATACAGGTGGAATAAATGGGGCGGGGGGGGGAGAAAATGAAGTCCTAGGTGGATAGAAGACCTCTGATGAGGTGATCTAAAAAGGAAGTGAGAGAATGAGTTATGGTGGCTATTTGCAAGTAGAGCTTTCCTTCCCAGCAGACTAAGTAGCAAGTATAAACAGCAAATACTCTTTTTCTTTTCTTCCTTTTTAATTAAATGATTAATTTTTTGTTTGCTTGTTTTTGGCCCATACCCGGCAGTGCTCCGGGGTTATTCCTGGCTCTGCACTAAGGAATTATTCCTGGTGGTGCTCAAGGAACCCTGGGATGCTAGGGATGGAATCCAGCGAATGCCCTACCCACTCTGCTGTCTCTTCTGCCCCTGACTACTCTTTCCTTGAGGTGGGAAAGGGCTGGAGAATAAACATCAAGCAAGGGAGAGTGGAAGAGATCCGATGGGTGAGGATGAGGCTAACCTCTCACGCCTCACCTCCCAACTGGGGGCGCTGCGGAATGGGCAGCCGGAACTTGAATGCCGACGTTGCAGAATAGAGGGTCGGTCTCTTAGGACTGCTGCTCTCTTGTCTCTTCCTTTTTCATGTTGTTGTGTGCAGAAGGAAGGTGGGATTGCAGTCTACGAAGGGAGGACACAGTCACTTGCTTCGAATAGAGAGCATAAACCTTGGGAACTTGGCAAGCCCCAACTTTGTCAGGAGTCACAGAGAGCCGCCACTCATTCCACTCTGTCCTCTCCTCCCCTTTCCAGAAACCTCAGGGTAAGGAGAGGCATGAATGATCGTGTGCCTTGGGTAACAGTGTCACAACGGAAGGGACTTTAGAAATCATCTTGTTCAACCTCCACCAGTGACAGGTGCTGCAGTACACAGGAGCAGTAACTTCCCAGAGCTGCCTAGGTCAGTTACTGGCAGAGCTCGGGTTCCGAGTGATCGTATCTTTGTCTGTGCTCCCAAAGGCTCGAGTGGTGTCTGGCTGGGCCTTCAGCTTCCTCTCTCCTCAGGCTGTCAGTTTGTCGGGAGTGAATGCGACTCGGGACTTGAGCAGACCCCACGGAACCGGGCAAGCAGATGAGTGAATGCATTTATTTCTCTTTGTCTAGGATCAAGTCCTCTTGACCAGGGACCAGGCCCAAACCAGACTGCTGGTGCCCCCTCTTGGGCTCTGCTGTCCTCGGAAAGCAGCTGGAATCATGGGGAATATCTTTGGAAACCTTCTCAAGAGCCTGATTGGGAAGAAGGAGATGCGCATCCTGATGGTGGGCCTGGACGCTGCAGGAAAGACCACCATCCTCTACAAGCTGAAACTGGGGGAGATCGTCACCACCATACCCACCATCGGTAAGCGTACAGATTGGATGCAGGTTTCCATGCCGACAGTGACCTGTTCCTGGATGCAACTCCCGTCCCCGCTCACCCCCGCCCCCCGCCCCCCTAACCTGGCCTCTTCTCCCCAGGCAAGTCCATACAGCTTGTGGGCTTCAGGGAAGCTTGGTTCCTTACCAGCAGGTGCTGGGCAGCCGTTTGCCCGCCAGTTCTCTCTGAGGCGGGAACTTCCGCAGCCTGGCACTCAGCAGCTGCCTGCAGGCACTGAGCTGGTTTGTTCTCTGTTGTTTGGAGAGCAGGTGAAGGGCTTTGATGTTCCTGCCAGAGGTGTGGAATTGCTTCATTGCAGATCCTCGGTGGCCCCGGTCCTGGTTAGACCTGCCTGCGGGAGTGAGTCTGGCCTTGCAGCTGGGTCTGCGGCGCATCACCCACAGCTGGCTCCGCGCTCGGGGCTCTAGGAACGTAGCTCACGTCTTTGTCTTCTGCCTCGCTGCCCTGCCGCACCGAGGCGCTGCGTAGTCGGGACAGAGCCGGTTCTGCCTGGGTGGGAGAGCTGAAGACAGAGTGATGGGAAAGGTGGCCTCACGTTACCCGGCCCCTCTGTCCCTTCTGTTGGTCACAGGCCCCCTAAACACTTCTCTTGGGCTTGTTTTCTGGGCTTTAGGCCACTGGGCCAAGTAATACCAGACCTAACGCATGACATTTCCTTTCTTTTTTTTTTTTTCTTTTTGGCTTTTTGGGTCCCAGCTGGCAATGCTCAGGGGTTACTCCTGGCTCTGCGCTCAGGAATTACCCCTGGAGGTACTCGGGGACCATATGGGATGCTGGGAATCGAACCTGGGTCAGCCACGAGCAAGGCAAACGCTCTGCCTGCTGTACTGTCGCTCTAGCCCCTGACATTTCTTTTTCTTGCTGGGCTCATGCCCAAGCTGGGGGCAGCGGGAACAGACCCCCTGGGACATCACTTGCAGGCCTTGTGTTTGAGACCAAATGGCTATCGTGTTTTGTTTGTTTTCCCAAAGGTTTCAATGTGGAGACAGTGGAATACAAGAACATAAGCTTCACGGTTTGGGATGTGGGTGGCCAGGACAAGATTCGACCTCTCTGGAGACACTACTTCCAGAACACACAAGGTAGAGATGTTCTGGACTAAAGTGGGGTGAGTGAGTGTTAGCCAAGAGTGACTCCTGGTCTGAGCAGCTGCGCCTTTCCCTGCTGACTGAAACTCCCAAGAAAAAGGAGAGGGAGAAAATGCCTGGAGGGGAAGGGGGGGCTGGCTTTTGGAGTGGGGACGGGGTCCCTCTGTGGCCCACGCACAGCCCATGTTCTGCCTCCCCAGGTTTGATCTTCGTGGTTGACAGCAATGACCGGGAGCGAGTGAATGAGGCCCGGGAGGAGCTGATGCGGATGCTGGCCGAGGACGAGCTCCGGGACGCTGTGCTCCTTGTCTTCGCAAACAAGCAGGTGATCCCCGCTCGGGCTCCGAGAGAGGGCCTCGAGGCGCACCGCCGGGGAGCTCAGTTCTGGAAGCGAGGGGAATGTTGGCTTCCTCACGCTCATCTAGTCTCCCACCTGGGCCTTGGTTTTCATTTATTTAAAAACATATTGGGAGGAGGGGCTGGAGAGATAGCACAGCGGGTAGGGCGTTTGTCTTGCAAGCATCCGACCCAGGTTCGATTCCCAGCGTCCCATAGGGTCCCCTGAGCACTGCCAGGAGTGATTCCTGAGTGCAGAGCCAGGAGGAAGCCCTGTGCATCGCCTGGTGTGACCCCCCCCCCCAAAAATATATATATATATACGCATTGCACTCCCCATGGTCCTTGAGGGACCGTATCAGGTGCCGGGGATCAAACCCAGGTTGGTCGCGTGCAAGGCCAGCGCCTTACCTGCTGTCCTGTCGCTCTGGCCCCCTCCCACCCTGGCTTTTATTAGTCACGTTTCCTCGGGGCTTGGTAAAGGAGGCCTGTCACCTCGAGCCCCTCCTTTACGGTCCTCCTTACAGTGAACCCCCTCGTTCCCACAGCCAGACATGTCTGCTGGCTGCTCAGTCTGAGGCCCCTCGCTCCCACCCCACAGCTTCCATACTTCCATATTTAGTTTCTGGCCCCCTGGTGGAGTGAGTGGCCTCTAATGCCTTGGGTCCCGGATCGTGGCGCCTCTGAATCCAGCAGTCTCCTTAGGGGACAGTCCCCCACGCAGAGCAGCTCCTTAGGCGACTGTCCTGAGGAAGAGAGGCGAATCCAACACCTTCGGTCGAGGGGCACTCGAGAGATCTTCAAAAGTTCCTGACCCTCCTTTTCGTGTGTGTTTCCCTCATGCTCCAGGACTTGCCCAACGCGATGAATGCCGCGGAGATCACGGACAAGTTGGGCCTGCATTCCCTGCGTCACCGCAACTGGTACATCCAGGCCACCTGTGCCACCAGCGGGGACGGGCTGTATGAAGGCCTGGACTGGCTGGCCAATCAGCTCAAGAACAAGAAGTGAGAGCCAGGCAGCCCCGCCCGAGTGCCCCGCCCGCCCCCATATCTCCTGTCCCCCTGCCCCCGCCCTGCCCCTTCCTCCTGGTGCCAGTGTGGCCAGGGCCCTGGGTATCATGTCCGCATGCCCACCAAGAGCCTTGCCTCCCCGCCCCTTCCTCTGTCCGCCGACATGGCCAGTCCCTAACTGCTGTCCTAATGATGAATCATTCCAGTTGACTGGATTTCAAACAAAAAATAAGGTTGTTATGGTTTCATGGGGTGACCTCCTCCCCCGATGCTCCTGGGGGTGGGATTGGGTGGGGTCGGTTCTCTCTGTTCGCTTCGTTTGGCTCTGGCTCTCGAGTCTCTTCCTCTCCTCTGCCTGTGTTCCTCTACTTGGCCACCTTCTCCCTGTTCTTCGTGGAAATTGCACGGGCCTCTCTGTGCGTGCATGTGTGCGCGTGTTTCTACGTGTAGAGAGACATTCGGGGGCCAGGGAGAAGAGGGGAGGGGTGGAGTGGCGCTCGCTGCCCACTCCTGCTTGTCGTCTATCCCTCCGTGTCGGTGTAAAGGGAAGAAGGTGCAGGAAGGCCCCCGAGCGTTGCCCTGGCTCCTCTCTTCCTTGCAGGTGGGTCTTCTGGGTTATAGGCCAGACGGTGGGCTTTCCACGACCATCTTTCTCTAACCCCTCTCTCCATCCTGCTTAGGGCAGGGGCTGGCATTTATCTCAGATGACTGTTTCCAAGGAGATGCCATTCTGCCCTGGCTTACTAGTGGGAGGGAGAGAGGAACCCACTCACTCTTACAGCCCAGAGTGTTCAGCTGATCCTCCCCCACAAATCCTTAGATTTGTTCCTCAGGAATTGGAGGCGGAGGCGAGGATGACAAGACCGTGGTGTGTGTTGGGACCCAGGGCACTGGAGAGAGGGCCTCGGGTTTTTCATCTCCATCCTCTTTGGTTTTAGAAGGCACTGCCTCCCCTCCCTCCCCGTCTGACCTTGGAATTGTTCTTTGGCAGAAGTTTCCTTCATCCCAGTGGTCTGTATGCCCGACCTGACCAAGGCTGGTTTAGTGGGGTTGGGGTGGCATGCAGACCTAACACCTGTTCCCTGTTCTCTGGCTCTGCTCTTTCCCAGTTCAGGGTGTTGTGAAGGATGAAAATGTTCTTGTTTCCAGGTCCTCGGATCATCCTGCTGTCCTGCCCCCTCTCTCTCCATCCCGCAGTGTCCTCCTGTCTTCTTTACCCCTTCCATAAGTGGATCTGGGGCCTGGAGTGTAGGAAATTTAATGCTGAAGTGGTTGTTGGTGCTGGTGGGATGCGGTGGTTTTCAGGGTCCTCTCACGAGTCCGTAGTTGTTCAGAAGCTGCTGCTATGCGCCTCTCTGTCTCCAGGGGGCGCTGTCCCCGAGGTCCTGGCCTGGGTCCTGGCTGAACGCGGTTTCTGTGAAGCCGCCGCTTTTCTCTGGGCTCCTGTGTGTGCTGGCTGCGCCTGAGCTCCAAGCAGAGCCCGTCACCTTTCTGCTCAAGTCAAGGCCCGGACTCCTACAGTGGGACTGAGGGATCGCTGCCCCGGAGGGCTGTCCCCAGCCCTGTCCCGTCCACCCTGCCCAGACTGAAAGAGGTTTCAGGGCTGTCTCCTTCAGTGCCAGTTCCTTAGTGATGTACTGCCCAGGTTGCAGGTGTGTGTGTGTGTGTGTCTGCGTGTGTGTGCGTGTGTGTCTGTCTGTGTCTGTGTCTGTGTGTCTGGATGTGTGCGTGTGCTTGGCGGCGGGGGGAGGGAGTGGCTGGGGAGAGGGGTACTGCAGCTTCAGTTTCATTCTAAAATGTGTTCACTCAGATGCTTCCCTCCACACTTTTTTTCCTGCCTGTCTCCATTTCCTGTTTTTTTTTTATCCCCAGCTCCTGTTGCTCCTCCTTCGCTGAACGCTCTCCTTTGCCTTCAGCCGCATTCACTGCTGTTGCTCTTTGTCTTTTCTTTCCTGGCATTTTTGTTTTAGCTCCGTCGGACTCCCTCCCTACCCGAACCCCCCCCCCCCCCCCCCCCCCCCCCCCCCAGTTTTACAGCGTTGTGGTTGGTGAGGATTTTGACTCCTTAGGTGTCAGTCCCAAATAGGCTTTAATTAGCTCGGCCCCACCTGCGTGTCTGGGGGGAGATGCCCAGGGACTAGTCCAGAGGGTGGGTTCTAAGCAGCCCACCTGGGAGGTTCCTAGATGCTGCTGCCTGAGATCTGTTGGGCAGGGGGCGGTAGTGCTCTGGGTGTGTCTCGGCAGGGCGGGACCTTTCTACGTTCAGGTTCACCCAAACGCCCTCTGGGGTCGGGCATTCATTCCTTTTCTGCCGCTTCCTCCCCCACTCTTTTCTGGTGGGCTTGCTTTTGTGCTTTGCTTTGTTCCAGCCTTTCTTCTCCCTGGGGATTCCCCTTTTTTCTTCCCCAAAGTTTGTTTGTGATGTTACAGTGGTAACTGCAGTTCTGAACTGGTTTTTCTCTTCTTTTTTCCTCCTCTGGAATGTAGACTGTATATGTTTGATAACTCACCTTCTCTCTCCTTGCTCAATATGTGGGATACGCGATGACTGTGACCCTGGTTGGATATTAAACTTGTTTTATGCAGCTTTGGAGCAGACCTCCATCCTTGATGTGCAGCAGACCCGGGGCAGTGGCTTCTGCTGAGGGTGGCCGCTTCCTCTCCAGAGAGGGAAAAAGAAGACTAGATTGAGTGAGAGTGCAGGTCCCGAGAAACTTAGACTCATCTGCACACTGTTTGCTTCTGCCTGTCACACTCCAGGGGGATCCTGAAGTCACTGGGCACCAGAATGTCAGGCTTTGTTCATGTCTTTGCTCCCCTAGTTCACAAGGCTTTGACCCTGAACTTACCTGTTTATGAAGTAATGGCAGGCTTTAGGGATTTCAGTGACTAGAGGGTCCTGAGCTCGGTGTGCCCTACCCTGATGCTTCTGGTCAAAACTGGGCTCTGGAGACCCCTGGGCCCATGTGGTCGTGGGTTGGCCTGGAGTAAGAAGGGAGATAAAGGATGGGGTGGGGGGTGATCATCTTACAGTGATGGGCTCGCATCACCTCCTCTTCAGGCACGTAATGGTTCCCTGCTGTCAGGATGCCAGACCTTATCTAGACTTTCCATAAATGCCTCGAGGGAAAGACCTTTTTCAGTCCAGCCTCTCTTCTCCCATCCCACCCCATCACTCCTCTATTCCTCTCCTGTTACTGTTTGGCGTCAGGCAGGGAAAGAGCGATGATGCTTGCCTCGGGGCTGATAGGGTCCGGGTGCCCAGGCTGGCCTTCCCACTTGTCACCTTCTTAGGCTTGGAGGACAGGCTTCCCACGGTGCTGTGGTGAGAACCAGCATTTAGGTATGTATTCAGTTCGAGACACAGGTGTGAAAGAAGTCATGTGTATTATGTTGCCTTTCTCGCTTCCCTGAGCACAGCGGGTAGGGCGTTTGCCTTGCACACAACTGACCCGGTCGGCCCAGCTCCTGATTCCTCCGCCCCTCTTGGAGAGCCCGGCGAGCTACCAAGAGTATCTCGCCCGCATGGCAAAGCCTCGCAAGTGACGTATTTGATATGCCAAACACAGTAACAACAAGTCTCACAGTGGAGACGTTACTGGGCCCGCTCCAGCATATCGATGAACACTGGGAAGACAGTGCTCCAGTGCTCCCTCTCCTGTTATTAACAAGCTATCACCCTCGAGGTCCAGAGTTGCTTATATGAAACCCATAAACTGCCAGAACAGGTATCTCTCAACCCTATAAGCTTCAAACGTTCCTCAAAATCAGAGGTAACTTTTCCAAGGGCCTTCAAAATTCCTCTTTGGTGACTGATGTTATTGATAAGGTAGGAGGACTTTCCTCAATTGATTCATTTATATATTGATAAATCGATATTTCCTAGAGCTAAAACCCCCTCACGTTGATATTGGAGAGGAACTGAGTTGGATGTTAAGCCAGTAGAGGTCATTTAGCCCTTGAATAACTTGGATTAAGGGATGATCTAGTTCCTTTTTGATCCTCAGACCCAGTTTAGGATACCAGAAGGTAAAAAGAGCACCATTCTGGTAGTTGGTTAAACCTCCCAGCTCTTTGAGGAGCACATAGAGGGATGAAAAGGAGACTTAACCTAGAAGGAAGATGCTCAGCACTTAACTGTAGGACAAACCATAACACCTTCTTTCCATAACATGAGTAGCCTGATCTACTTCAGGGTAACCTGGGCAAGGGAGCTCCCACCCTGGGCCTAGGGGAGGACAGTGGAAGGATGTGGATTATTTCAGGTGAGATAGAGGACAAAACTGCCCCTTCATTCCAGAGTTTGGGTCAGTGACAAGAATGAATGAATGTGGGTATGTGAGTCTCTCCAGCTCGAGGTATAAGGCCTATTGCCTTGAAGAGTCACTACACATCAAGTGCCCAGGCTGGTCACAGTGGAAAATAAACAAGTGTTAACACATTTTATGTTTCCGACCAGGGGCTAGAGCAATAGCACAGTGGGTAGGGCATTTGCCTTGTACGCAGCCGACCTGGGTTCGATTTCCAGCATCCCATATGGTCCCCCGAGCACCGCCAGGAGTAATTCCTGAGTGCATGAACCAGGAGTAACCCCTATGCATTGTTGGGTGTGACCCAAAAAGCAAAAAAAAATTATGTTCCCGACCTGTGCTAGGCGTGACGTCAAAACCTCTATGCTGAGGAAGAGGAAGAGACCTGAGAATCTCTGGGGTGCTTTGAATGTTGGGGTAATGGTGGCTGGGGAATAAATGTAGGGGAATCCCATCGCTCTACTCTGGCTTAATGGCATGGGGTGAAGTGCAGAGCCAGGAGTATGCCCTGAGCGTTGCTGGTTGTGGCGCATAAGCCAAAAATGCTTACTGAAATTGGGTCTCATTGCCCTGGGTGCCAGAATGGGTAAGGGTGGCTCTCCGTCCCTGAGCACGGAAAACACTAACTCTGAGAGTCAAGCCTGGAGCATGGGAAAGGCATCTGTGCCACTGCAGGTGGTGGCTGGAGGGAAGAACTCACTTCGGAACTGTTGAGCTGCCAAAGCTTGAAGGTGAGTGTCAGGTCGTATTTCTCACTTTGGTCATGTACTACAATGGAGGGTATTTAGGGTCTAGTTCACCTTTTGACTTTTTGAATATTTGGGGTTTGGGCAATAAGCCCTGAGCACAACCCAGAGTCTTCCCACAACCACCAGAAGAAAGAGGGAGAGAGAGAAGAAAGGTCTTGTACTTAATTCATTAC